CGAGCGGTAAACCGGGGTCATGGAATCTATGCATAAATTTGCATAAAATGCGGTCGACCGGCGAGCACCCACCACCACCGCGGTAATGACCGCGAGTTTGATTTCCTACTCTTCCCTAAAGTTGGATTATGTTTTTAAAAAAATATAAACAAAAGATTTTCATTAAAACTTAAATTGAATAACCTTTAAGCTGAACAGAACAAACTACTGATAATCCTGGAGAGAGCACTGGGAGAGTATATGAAAAACACTCACCTGCGGATTCTTTACTTTTTCTCAACACATCACCAAATTTAAGATCATCCATTGATTTCTGGTCATCTACCGTTTCAATCATTCCAACTTCATCAACATCCAAATCTTGTGCTCTGGCACACACTTGAAAAAAACAAAGTTCCCCATTGGCCCGACATGCACACATCCTCTCCATACCATGGCAGTAAGTCAATGCAACAAACTGTTCTCCTTTGTTACTTCTAACTACTTTACCACTGCTGCAATCAGAACATGCAGGAATCTCAGCCAGCGTTGTAAATGTACCGATATCCAGAATAGCTATACCACCTTCCCACGTCGTTGCTGCCAGCTGACCCAGACAAGGACTTCTCACAGTACTGCCATTTTCACTAGCCTTACCCTTTTCAAGGGAAGCCGATTTCTCTTCCGGAGTGATGATATCATCATCACCTGCAGTATCACAAGCCTCTGGTGGCAAAACAATCACGCTTGTGATCATCTTTTTCAAGGAGCTAATTTTAAGTTGCACAGCTGGTTGTTCATCTAAGGTAATAGTACCAAAAGTATAGTTTAATTTATACAAGAGAAGGAATCCTCCAGAGTCCACAGCTGTGAGATCCTGTAACGAGGAGCCCTCAGCAGCATTGCTGTCAATATCAGGACTCTCTACAATACCTGTACTATCTTTGTTTAAATCATTTTGCCCAGAGGTACCCCCATTGCACTCTTTCCCTGTTTGCTTTATAGTGTCCATGGTGTCAGTCGGGACAACCACAACTATAACATGAGAGCTATCTACAGTCGGTAAAATTTGCGACACGCACATACTAGGAGCCACAGACTCGGGTAATTCTATACACTGCACTAAACCGCCAACTTTTTTCTCTGAGCTAGCACTGCGATGATCCACCGTGTCTTCGCCTGGGGAAGTGGAATTGACGTTTGATTCCATAAAAGATACCGGTTCTTCAATGTAAATCTGCTGGTCCTCAACTTCTAATATCTGTGGCATGTAGAATTCTTGAAGGGACGCCTGTCCAGAGAAAACAGTTGAGCCTTTACTCTCAGTGGGGGCAGGGGCAGGCTCAGGTTTTACAGGTTCAGTTTTATTTGCCATATCATAAACTAATATGCATGGTGTACTATAACTATGCGATCCACTGGGTAAAGCAGTAGTGACAGCATCTGGGGCATTAGTTCTATCCGTTTCATTGTCTAAAGGGGCATGGTTGCCATTGGAATTTGCACTAAGAGATTGCGAAGCACTGTTTAATCTACATATAAGAGTTCCAGCAAGCAAAACAGGACTGATTGTTTTCTTCTCTTTGGTTTCAGCTTTCAATATATGATGGCTTCTCTCTGGTTTCCCAACTAAGCTCAGTGATGTAACCAAGACATCCTCCGAAGGTGGTGTTAGAGTTACTTTACTTGCCACTGGATTTATCAAAAAAAAGAAGAAAAAAAAAGCCTTGAGGTCAGATTATGTCTAAGATTGCCTTGAGGTCAGATTATGTCTAAGATTATTACTTTTAATACCACTTTACTCCTTGCAAAGATTTATCCAAGCCAATTTTTGTTGCAAAACCTGTCCTCTTTTCATCAAATAATTTGAATTAATATCTTTCACAGAAATAAGGACTATGGTTGTGAAGGATTACAGAAGGTGACAATAGCAGTGAAAAGGTTGCTGATATGCAAATTACCTCATTAATATGCACAAAACTATTTTGTGGAAGGCCACAAATGCAGGGTAAAGGGGTTCATGATATGCAAATTAATATGCACAGACAGAACATGCAACTATTCTTTGGAATATTACAAATGCTTATGATGGCAGTGATAGGGATAATGCAGCATCAACATACTTCTGCTTGTAGCGTCACATACGATGATATTTATATTTTAAAATTGTTATAAAGCTCAAAATTAGGACCCTGCTTAAAACGTACGTTTCGAACACTATAAATAAAAGCCAAACACACCTGCACTACTACGGTTATTGTTGATGTTTTCCAAATCTGACTGACTTTTCCAAGCACCACTTATATCAATAACTTGTATTGAGCCTCCACCTTCATCTATTACAAGAGGAAAAGATATTAATTGCATTATTGTATTATACTGGCAGTGAGGGACAATTTAACAAGATTCAAAATACATAGACGTTCTCTACATCAAATTTACCTTCTTTTGTTACTTCTTTGTCAGTCGTCTTCTTTTCAGTTTCTGTCTTGACACTAGTAAACATTACAAACAACATTTAAAATGATAGCATTAATCAGAAAAAAAATCACAATGTTAAACAACATCACATAAGCCGTTATTCTCAGTCAAATCAAACACAACATTTAAAACAGACCAACCTTTTCGATACAATTTCAACAGTTTCATCTTTCATTTCACCCCAAGCTTCAAACAGTTTATTGGGACCAACTTTTTTTGTAAGCTTATGTAAAATTAATGGTTCCAATGGATCAATATTGAACATTTTCTCCAACTTGAGCTGTCTTGATACATCCCATATGCAGACGTTGCCATGCACTGATGATGTGGCCATCAGATTCAAACAGGAAGTGCTGCTAACACATGTGATCTATTGAGTAATTTATGTTCATATTGAGAAATGTTTTATTTTATGCAGGATATAAATATATAAATGTTTCAATAATGTCTAGTATGTCAGCCTTCAGGAAGTTCTGGGACTAATGTTAACAGCAGAGGGTTCCAAGCATCCACAAAGCAATAGTAGAGAGTATATAACAACATCCCCTTTCTATCAAATCTTGTATGTATGGATGAAAAAGTAGGAAAAAATTGGTATATTATCAGATATATTTTGTTTGTAGCATTTGGCATATGAAGTAGTATGTGTTGTATACCAAATGCAACAATTATGATAATCACAAAATATCTGGGTCAGAAATTGTTAGCCGAACATTGCCAAGCATTTATGTAGATGTGAATGTGATCAAATTCTCAGCACATGCAAAACTGATGTCTCTCTAATGCGACCTTCGTAATTATTCAAAATTTGATAAGAAGTAAGTCAGGGGATTAGTTTGATGAGCACCCTTTTTTTAAAGTTGTTACGTCCTTTATTTTTTTCTAAATTTGTACATTTTACATGAAATTTCATAGCATTATTGGCAGTGCTTCCAAGCAAACTTCATAGGCTCATTGTGTTGAGCATGTTCTAAAGCACGATTTCAAACAGCGCTGCGTGTCAGGATTTTAGGTCTTCCAAAAAGGTTCCAACAGGCATAACACACAAACTCGGTAACTGCCTATTCCAAGTGATGGCCCATGCTTCTGCATATATTGTAAACTCCAAATAAACTGATAATACAACTTTAAGGAATTTTAGGTAAAAAGACACAATGAAAGATAGAACAATGTACTGATATAAGATAGAAAAACTTGAAATGCACACAAAATAAAAGTCATGGAGATAATAGCTGAGATTATTGCCTTGACACAAGTGATAGATAATGCATGTAACCCACCTCCTGTGAACCATCTGCATGTAACTGTGCTGGCCCTGTTGCTAAGGTTACAAAAATTGGCACATTCTGCGTATATTCCCCTCGGACAAATGGACAGTTAGGCGAATGACGTTCATGCTCAGACCTGAAGAATTAAGAATTAAAGAAAAACCATTTAAGCAGCAATTCTATGACATACATTGTACCAGCACAAAATAAAGATTTCTATAAATTACAGATGAGCATATGAATTTTCACTATATCTCACTGAGTTTAGGTCATGTTACCTACCATGGTTCATCTGTTGGTTCCCAACAAACCAAGCACACACTGCATGTAAAACACATTGCACGGTCATCACCAGTGGATGTAGGCTACAATAATAATAATAATATACAATTAAATTAATTATAACTGATTTAAGTACACAATTATTTAACATGGTGTAACTATTTATTACAACATTACCCTACTGTTACTCGCACTAGTTATGCGACCCTACGTAAAAAAAAAACAAATAGTTATAGATAAGAGTTATGGTTCCTGGTTCTAACGAATGAATACAAATCAAAATATGACAAATAACTAATGTTACATTTGGAATTCTTCATCAATCTCCTGTGAATTGGCAACATATCTGAAACCAACTAATAGTA